TTACTTGCTTACGCTTGCTTGCTTGCGCTTGCTTGAATGTGCTCCTCCCGTTCTCCTCCCGTCCTGCTCCCGTCGTCCTTTCGTCCTCCCCCAAGTCAACGCTGGCTGACTTACGAATATAAATAATAATGGAAGTAATAGAGGTAGTAGTAGTAGTAGTAGTAGTAGTAGTAGTAGTAGTAGTAGTAGTAGTCGTAGTCGTAGTCGTAGTCGTAGTCGTAGTAGTAGTAGTAGTAGTAGTAGTAGTAGTAGTAGTCGTCGTCGAAGTAGTAGTAGTAGTAGTAGTAGTAGTAGTAGTAGTAGTAGTAGTAGTAATAGTAGTAATAGTAGTAGTAGTAGTAGTAGTACAAGCAACAGTAGTACTAGTAGTACGAATAGTAGCAGCACTAGTAGTAATAGTAGTAGTAGTAGTAGTAGTAGTAGTACTACTAGTACTCTCAGTAGTAGTAGTAGTTAGTAGTAGTAGTAGGAGTAGTAGTACTAGTACTAGTAGTAGTAATAGTAGTAGTAGTAGTAGTAGCCGTAGTAGTAGTCGTAGTAGTAGTAGTAGTAGTAGTAGTAGTATTATGAGTAGTAGTATGAGTAGTAATAGTAGTAGTGGCAGTAGTAGTAGTAGTAGTCGTAGTAGTAGTAGTAGTAGTAGTAGTAGAACTCGCACAGATAGTAGCAGTAATAGTAGTAGCAGTCGTCGTTGTAGTACTAGTAGCAGTTGTACTAGTAGTAGTAGTAGTAGTAGTAGTAGTAGTAGTAGTAGTAGTAACAGTAGTAGTAGTAGTAGTAGTAGTAGCAGTAGTAGTAGGAGTAGTAGTCGCATGTGTGGTCGTAGTAGAAATAGAACTTGTCAGTTCCGGTAGCAGTAATAGCCGACGTCGTAGTGGTAGTAGTAATTGTAATAGTCGTGGTAGCGGTAGTGGAAGCGCTTGCGAGCACCACAGTACGCTTGCGAGCACCACAGCATGCTACCGAACACAGCCGTGCGCGCAGTGCGCGCCTGCGAGCACCGCAGAGCGACTGCGACCACCACGCCGCGAGTTGAAGGGCCGCCCGGTGCCTCTTCTGGAGGCCTGCGGGGCGGCGTCCAGTGGAGTGCAAGCGGGCCCCATTTCAGCTGCGGCGGCGGAGGGGATGTAAATGGCAGCACCGTGGCGCGACGAAAGTCTCTACTGGTCTACAGTGGAGGCCAGTCCACAAGGAACCTTAAACAAGAAGCTCAACCCTGAGACCCCAGGCCGTCCCTTGATTTTTGATGTGGGAACGTCACGCTTTGCAGAGTCAAACCATCGAAACCCAAGAAACCCGGGGCACCCTGGAGGCAAGCAGGGTGCTTCTTGGCATGGACCTCCACTGAACTGCCTGTGGCCAAGCCCGCTCTGTGCCAAGGAGCCGTGCGCGCGCGCGCTCTCCTGGCCTAGCCACGGGGGCATGCAAGCCGCCCCCTGGCATAGCACGAGCCTGACCAGCGGCAGCAGATCTGCGGCAGTGGCCGCCGTAACTGAAGGGGCCCTGGGACACACAAATAAATACACACAAATAAAACGATTCGCCATATTTTCCCATATTTTCTGGGTTTTTGTCTTCCCCCCCACTTCCCATATTTTTCCACATGTTCCTGGGATCGACGATTAATTGTGTCTGTGTGTTTTTTCCGCTCCTGAGTAACGCATGCCACCAGCAATAGCCAACGCTCGCCATCTCAAGACCCCAAGCAGCGAGATGCTGCCCTCTGAGAGCCAAAGAGGCTGCGCCACAGGTTGCGGCCACAGGTTGGGCGCCCATCGCTTGCGCCATGGGTTGCGCCCGCAGGGCGCGCAACATATTGCGCCCATAGGTTGCGACACAGGTTGCTCCATACGGTTGCGCCACAGGTTGCGTCGCATGGTTGCGCCCTAGGTTGCGCCACTGTACGCTTGTGAACGCGAAAGCGCGAAAGCATGCCTGTCAACACCACAGCACGCCTGTCAGCACAGCAATAACAGCAGCAGGAGGAGCAGCAAAAGGTGCAGCAAGAGAGCAACCAGGAGGAGCAGCAGGAGGAGCAGCAGGAGAGGCAGGAGGAGCAACAGCACGAGCAGCAGGAGGAGCACCAGCCAGGAACAAGAGCAAGAGGATGGGCAACGGGAGGAACAACAACGCGAGCACGACGACCAGCAAGAAGAGCACAGGAAGAGGAGGAGGAGGAGGAGGAGGAGGAGCACCAGAGGAAGAGCAGAAGAGACACCGGGCATTTCCGACGAACTGGATGCTTGCGACCGCCACAGCATGTTCGTGAGCACCAGATCATGCCCGTCAGCACCACAGCGCGCCTGCGAGCATAGCGCCACACCTGACCACCCGCGCGTACGCTCGCTAATGTCACGGGATGGGGGGGGGCGGGGCGACCTCCCGTCACGGACGTTACGGGTTCAACTGGTAAAAAGAAACACTCTCGAGATGGAATCAGCCAATGCATCGCCGATAGATCAGCGATAGGCCTCCGACGGCGGAAACGCAGGGTCCTGGGCGGGGTGGGCTACCAGTCCCCTGACTCGGGCGCAAGCTGACATGGAGCAGGGGCCAGTGGATCTGGCGCGTGGGCGCCAGATCCATGGATCGGTCAAGGTACCCCCGACACACGAGGCCAGTGCCGCCTCATTCGGCGACAACCCGCGCCGGCATTGCATGGAAACGGGACCAGTCGCTAAGCCGCACGCCTTCATCCATGTCAGCGTTACCTCGACTATCGGCGACCAATGGGTGATCGGAGGTCGAAGCTTTGGGTTTCCATTTGGTTTCCTATGGACACCCTTTGGTTCTTTGGTTCTATCCACCCCCCTTTGGTTCTATGAACCTATCCACCCCCTAGCTTTGGTTTCCTATGAACCTATCCACCTCCCTTTGGTTCTATCGGCACCCCCCCCTGTACCGATCCACCCCCCTAACGTGGCCACTGAGGGGGCAGGGCCGCCGCGGGCTGTCGCGGCGCCCCGGCGGGCGGTCCAGGAGCGAGTACGAAGCTCTCCTCGGTGGAAGAAAGCAGAAAGCAACTGCCCTGACCTCTCAACCCCCTCCTCCTCCTCCTCCTCCTCCTCCTCCTCCTCCTCCTCCTCCTCCTCCTCTTCCTCCTCTTCCGTTTCCTTATTCATAACTTCTCCCTGCCGCACACTGAGGCCAATTTCTAGGGCGGGCCGGGCGTTTCGCCTGAGACCTCCTCACCATTTATGACCCAGAAGCTGAAAAACTGGCAACCGCTTCACAGATGGAGGGCGGGTCGTTTTAAAAATGTGGCTCTCGCCTTAGCGCCGCGCACATTCGTATGAACATTTATACACAAGCTTCACGGATTGAGGGCGAGTCGTTTTCAAAATGTGACCCTCACCTTAGCGCCGCATGCACTCGACTTACGCAGTTGCAAGAGTTTCACGGAATCCTGTGATCAACGTACGAGAAAATGCGTGTTGGAAAGATTCAGGATTATGAGGGTGCAACAATTACTGTGATGCGTGGTGCTGAAGTCCCGCTAATGGCGTCCTGGTACGATTCAAGACCGTCAAGACGCAATAGGCAGGTTGATCCGTGGCGTTAAAGTACCGAAACTAAAGTTTTGACATGCGTCAGAGTCTTCAAACGATTACCTTCCAAGGAAGCAGCTCCCTCAGTAGAAAATTGACCGTTGTGGGGGCCTATGAGGAGGGAGATTGGAGGGACTCTTGGGTTTACACTGGTCCTCCTCCTCCTCCTCCTGCTTCTCCTCCTTGTCCTCCTCCTCCTCCTCCTCCTCCTCCTGCTTCTCCTCCTCCTTGTCCTCCTCCTCCTCCTCCTCCTCCTCCTCCTCCTCCTCCTCCTCCTCCTCCTCCTCCTCCACCTCCTCGGTTCTCGGAGGTCTTCGCATGTCTTCGTCGCTTTTGGGAGGTCCCCTCGCCTCCAGTTGCCTTCCAGCAGCTGCGCCTCGTCGAGAGCGCTCCGAGGGTGCCCGAAGCGCCCCGATCGGCCGCCAGAGGCCCGAGGCAGGACCCGAAGACCTGGCACCTTCGCGCCGCGACAGCCAGATCAGGGCGGGAGGCTCTCTGCAGCGGTCGGCCCCTGGAGCCCTCAGCAGGCCCCAGGGCCGTCAGGAAGCGACTCGAGGTAGAGACGGTGCCCGCGAAGGGATCCAGACCTCGCGGGGGAGCCGCGTTGCGAACAAAGACAAGACGTTGGCTGCCTGGGCCCCCAGGATCTCCAGGGAGGCCCCTCGAGGCCCAAGAGCCCCAGGGGCTCAATCAGTGGCACGGCAAGCGCGCAGGAGGCCTCGAGGCTCGAAGTTCGAAAGAAGAGGGAGGCCGAGGACGAGGACGAGGAGGAGGAGGAGGAGAAGGAGGAGGGAGGACGAGGCGTCGTGTAAAGATCGTGGCGTCGGATGTCGGGGTCGCCCGCCGGCGGTCCGCGGAGGGCGGCGCAGGCCGCGACCCCCAGGGGGGGTGGGGGAGGAGTGCGGCCAAGTGCGCGCCGTGAAGACCTGTGCGCGGGTGCCCGACACCGCGTGGATCGTTCCGCCTCGAGCGACCGCGGCTTTCCGCAAGCTCAGACCCTTCGATGCCAACCGCCTCTGGGCCACCGGCGGCGTTCCCGCGCTGGGGTCCCCGCCGCATCAGCCAGGCGCGAGCCCGCCGTGGGAGCGCGGGGGAGCGCGAGGGCGGGGAGGGAGCCACGGAGCCCTGTGAGGCACTGGGCGCGGAGCGCCTCGGGCCCCGCCAGTGGGCCCAGCTTCCTGGATGGCACGGTGGTCGCGAGTGCCCGTCGTGGTTGACACTCGAGGTCGGGGCAGTCGCGGGGGAAACCAAGGTCGGGCCCTGGGTGTTTCCCAGTGGGGCCGCCGGCACGGGAGAGGGAAAAGAGGGGAGGAGGGGGGAGGGGAGGGGAGGGAGTGGATGGGGCAAAGGATGGGCGCAAAGGACGAAGAGAGGGCAGGAGAGAGACGGGGGAGCGGGGGATGGCAGGAGAGGCGGAGACAAGATCGGGAGGGCATGGTGGGAAAGCCACACAGCATGAAGAGCTGGAGAAGGGATGGAGGAGAAGCGTGCGGCTGCTGCGGTCACTCTGCCTACGCTCCAATACAATACTCGGCCGCCTCACTTCAGCTTCTCCGGCTCCTCGCCCTCCTTCTCAAGGCGTTGCCTCTCCTTCTCCTCGTCCAGCATGGGCTGCAGCTTGGGCATGAGGAACATGGCCCCGCACGAGAAGAGCATCATCAAGGTCATGGGGCTCTTGAACACAGACAGGATGTCGAAGTCCTCGCGCTTCTCGAGGTAGCTGCTGCTTCCAGAAGGCTGGAGCATCAGCGGGTACTTCAGCTTGTTCCCCCTGCCATGCTCGAAGCTGGCGATGTACCCCGACATCTTCATGGCGCCGTCCCCCGACTCCTGCGCCTCCACGCGGACAGGGTCGAAGATGAGGCGGGGGTGCGCCACCTGTCGGGCGTTGCCAAAAGTGCCCCTGGCGCAAGCTGCCCCCAGGATTCCCAAGGAGGCCACCAAGGCCCCCAGAGCACCCAGCACGAGGCCCAGATGGCCCCAGGGGCTCCAAAGTGGAGCGAAAAGCTGGGGCACCTTGGGCCAGGGGCAGCTTCAGCAATCCCCGAGCCTGCAGCAGGTGCGGGCCTGGCGTCACGCCCGTGATCAGGAAGTGCCCGTCGGTGGTGGGCAGCGCGGAGCGCACGCCGCCGTCGAGCAGCACCCGGATCGCGCTAAGGCCGCCGGTGGAGGGCGGCAGCTCCTGGGTGAACTTCGGCGGGATGGAGACGCGGCCGCGGATCTGCCCCAGCTGCTGCTCCTGAGGAGGTCCAGGACACGGCATGAACGCAGTCTTTCGGAGCTCCGCGCGGGTGTCTTGGGTCGGCGCTGGGCCCCCTCCCCACAGCTCTGCCCCGGCGCGCCTCTGGCGCGGGGGCAGTTGGAGAAGCGCTTCGCTGGGTTCATCCTGCCTTTTCCATCATCCCCCCTTCCTGTAACCACAACCTCGCGATGATAACGGCCAACATGTGGAAAAGTGTAAGCGCCCTGGTGAGATAATCCCACCGCCCCTCTGGGCGTAGGTGTTTTGGCACGCTTGTTCTCCAGACCCCCTTTCTTCCCTGCGAGAGGGGTTTGCTGGGTCTGGACGCGGGGGGGGGGGGGGCGAGGGGTTAGAGCACTCAAGATGGCTTCCAAGATGGCACAAGACAGACCAAGAAGGCTCAAGATGGCTTCGAGCATGCCTCAAAGAGGCTCCAAGACTGCCCAGGATAGTTTCAGGCGGCCACGGAGCTTGCCAAGGAGACCGCCGACAAGCCAGAATCCTTCTTAAACAGCCTCAAGTGTTCCAATGGTGCTGACCTTCTCGCCATTTTGCTTCCGATGGGCCCCCTGGAGCCCCGAGAGTGCTCCAAGAACGCCCAAGAGAGCCTAGAGACTCTTATCGCAATTTCGTCTGGATGCTCCAGGCCAACACTCCTGGAAATGAGGTGTGGACCTGGGACTGGCTTAGTACCCCAGGCCTCGAGTATGCTTCTGAAGAGAAGCCTGACTCATCCCCCGCCTGCTACGAAGCCTCGCATGGATTGCTCGGCTAACCGTCACACGAGTAGCTTGGCAGACGGCGATATGGTAGGCTTCATCCTATTAAGACAAGCAACATCCAATGTGTTCACATGGGGCAGTGGATGTGCCCGCTCTAGTGTTCCGGTCATCTACAGGATTTGCTGCCGCTGCAAGTATGTAAGCAGCCGAGCCAAGCAATATGCCTCCCTTCCCTTTTTGAGGATCGCCTCTTTCGCCCCAACGCGAGTATCCGAAGAAAGGTCGCTGGCTGCCATCGTCTGTTCACAAACTTACGGCCTCGGCTAGGGCCGTCGGGCGGCCCACCACAACCTCGTGCCGCGGGCCCACTCCCGGCCCGTGTGCGATGTACCCACGCGGCCTTCCCCTTCTTCGCCGCAGGCAGGGGCTGGATGCCTCGGGCCTCGCCGCTCTGATACCTGGGCCGTCTGCTGGTGACGATGCTGCTAGGAAACCCGCCTGTCCCCTGCTACGGGCCTCCTGCGAGCATACAGGTCCTCTTCCGCAGTACTCGCTCGAATGCCAGTGTGATGGAGCACGGCGAAACAGCGTAGTAATGCACGGTGACCCTGGCTGCCATGCCAAGGTATCCTACGAGACTAGTGCCATTTTGGCCGCCCTGCTTCCTCATATGCACTGTCCTCGCCTCCCACTTCAGGCGGCACCCTTGGGCGTTCCTGGTCGGAGGTCTCGGACTACGCTTTTGACAGCCCGGCTTTCCTTCATGGTGGAAGAAGCGTGCCTACCCCAGGGGGCGGCATTGGCTTGTAGGTGGTCACTGGCTGTTGTGTTCTGTGTGTGTATCCTCCTTTCACTTTCTTCATTCATTTTCTCTACGATGAGCAAGTTGCCAGCAAAAGTCCCAAAATCTGCTAGGGAGAGAGCAGGCCCTCAATGTCCGTACGCTTTGCCTCACGGTGCCTGAGAGCGCCCTCGCTCCCGTATGGCATGTACCCGCCAAGCCTGAGTCCAACAAAAAAACTCCTCCTCCTCCTCCTCCTCCTCCTCCTCCTCCTCCTCCTCATCATCATCATCATCATCATCATCATCATCATCATCATCATCATCAGCATCATCATCATCATCATCATCATCATCATCATCATCATCATCATCATCATCATCATCATCATCATCACATCATTATCATCATCATCATCATCATCATCATCATCATCATCATCAGCATCATCATCATCATCATCATCATCATCATCATCATCATCATCATCATCATCATCATCATCATCATCATCATCATCATCATCATCATCACCATCGTCGTCCTCGTCCTCGTCCTCGTCCTCCTCCTTCGAAGTTGGAACCTCGATACCCCCCGCGCGCTTGCCGTGCCACTGTTGGAGCCCCTGGGGCCCTTGGGCCTCGAGGGGCCTCCCTGGAGGTCCTGGGGGCTGGGGCATCCAACGTCGTGTTGGCGTGGCTCTCCGTGCCTTCCCGGGGACCGGCGTTGAGAGACGCTTCCTGGACGGCCCCAGAGCCCGGCAAGGGCCCCTGGAAAGGGCCAACTGCCCAAAAACCTCCCGTCGTGATGCGTTCACGACGCCAAAGGTGTGGGGGGCCGGGGGGCAAAAACCGATCCCTGGACCTGTTCCCGCGAGCGTCCTGGCCACATTTCCAAAGCGGATCCAGCAGTGGCGACGAGGAGCCCCCTGGAGGCCGAAAAAGAGCAACAACAAAAAAAGACCAGAGCTCGATCCTCGAATCCAGACCCGCGGACTCTGGCAACGCCCGAGGTGGGTGGGGTGGGAGGGCAGCGGGCTCGCGGGCAGGACGCGGCAATGAGTTGCAGTCAACGCGCGGCCATGAGAAGCACTGGACGAGGAGCAGAGCGTAGAGTCAGAACCGATAACAAGGATGCGCGGTAAGGATGCAGGGTTAAGTCGGGCCTGTCCCTCTACAGGAGGGATACTCAAAAATGGTGAAAAATTAGTCTGGGGACTATGTTTTGACTAAGTTTGGCCATTTTGGAATATGTTGGGTGTATTTGATTTTTGTCGTCAAAACTCCCCCTGTAGGGGGACATGCCAGACCTAAATGCAGGGGCCTCGGACGCCCATGCCGAAGCGTTTCTAGCGGGGCTGGCTATCGACAGTGGTCGAGGACCGACCGAACATGACCGAAGAGGCAAAGATGCGAGGGCGCTGTCGCCGTCGGGCGCAGTCGTCGTCGTCGTCGGGCGCGGTCGTCGTCGTCGGGCGCAGTCGTCGTCGTCGTCGTCGTCGTCGGGCGCCGTCGCCGTCGGGCGCAGTCGTCGTCGTCGTCGGGCGCAGTCGTCGTCGTCGGGCGCAGTCGTCGTCGTCGTCGTCGGGCGTAGTCGTCGTCGTCGTCGTCGTCGCCGTCGTCGTCGGGCGCAGTCGTCGTCGTCGGGCGCAGTCGTCGTCGTCGTCGTCGGGCGTAGTCGTCGTCGTCGTCGTCGCCGTCGTCGTCGGGCGCAGTCGTCGTCGTCGGTCGTCGTCGTCGTCGTCGGGCGTAGTCGTCGTCGTCGTCGCCGCCGTCGTCGTCGGGCGCAGTCGTCGTCGTCGGGCGCAGTCGTCGTCGTCGTCGTCGGGCGTAGTCGTCGTCGTCGTCGTCGTCGCCGTCGTCTTCGGGCGCAGTCGTCGTCGTCGTCGTCGTCGTCGAGCGCAGTCATCGATGTCGTCGTACTATGGGCATGCCCCCCTACAGGCGGACGCGGAATGGTCAAACATGGTCGAAGCATCGTTCCCATACTATTTGTTGGCAGTTTTTGAATGTTCCTCCTGTAGAGTTATGTTGCTCCCTTCGTACTTAAGGACCACATCCCAGAAAGAATTTCGAGCACCCAGAAAAGTATCGAAACAGTGTCGAGCGAGTATCGCTTCCCAGGGCCCGACACGCGAAATCCCTTCGGTCTCGTTACTTTCGTGGTGCTCGAAACTCTTGCTGGTGTAGGGGCCACCTGCGAACCCTACCCCTACCCCCCACGATTTCTGAGGGGGAGGGTGGGGTTCACTTCGCTCGGGAGCTCCCGAAAGAAGTGAGCCCCACCCTCCCCCTCAGAAATCGTGGGGGGTAGGGGTAGGGTTCGCAGGCGGCCCCCTATGGTGATCAAGGCTAACGTAGGCAGGAACACCACAACTGCAGAGGGACCTGCCCGACTTCATACTCTGGGCTTCGACTTCGTGACGGGCCCCTTCTGGCCACGGCCGGCCTCGGCCACGAGCCGGGCCCCCCCCCCCGACCTGGAGCGGGGGGAACGGCCCGAAGACCACCGCTCCCCCCCCCCCCCCCCCCCCGGGAGCCCAAAGTGGCCCTCGCGCCAGCGCCCTTCGTGAGCATCGTCTCTCCGAGCCCCATCCCCAGCGGCTCCCCAGACTTCTCCTGGGACCGTGCGGACGAGAATCTCGAGGGGTGCCCCAGCCGTGCCACGTGGGCGCCCCAGAAGGCCGAAACAGGCCCCAAGACAGGATGACTCCAACACAAGACCAGATTGCATCCAGGGCGGCGCAAGTAGCCTGAGCTGGCCCAAGATGGCCTCAATCTGAGTATCGTTTAACCGATCCCCATCCCCAGCGGCGCGGCCTGGGCCCCACTGGCCGATCTACCCCCCTAGATGGGGGATACAGGCCGTTCCCTTCGGGTTTCGAGGGGTGTGTCCCCAACTGGGGTGGTGATTTGATGGGGGGGTCGGAGGGGATGAGGACAGGGATGGGGGTCGGTTAAACGATACGGATTTCGGCTACACGTAAGAGTGACCCTGGGTAAGGGTGACCTTTGGTGCGCGGTTTCAAGAGGGACGCGGGGTGGCCAAACCCGGGCGCGCATGCCGCTGCTACCGCTTCGCGCTCAGCGATCGGGGGAGCCCGCTGGGCCCGCACCAAAGGTCACTCTGGCGAGAGGTCACTCTTACGTGTAGTCGAGTCTGTTTTTTTCTTTTTTACTTTGAAACGGGACCGGTGGTATAAGCAATGACATAAACACAAACTTTCGGAGGTCCGCGTGGACTTCTTGGATCGGCACTGGAGCCCCCTCCCCGGCGCGCGAAGCGCGCCAGGGGCGGCGCCTGCGGCGCCGCCAGAGGGCTCAGGCGCCGAGCCGAGAAATCCGCGCGAGCCTCCGAATTTCGAGGTGTATCTTCTGATGTGCGCCTCGGCCACAGGCAAGACGCTGGCGCAAGGGCCACTTTGGGCTCGGGAGGGGCGGTGGTCTTCGGGCTGTTCCGTCTTCGGGCAGCCTGCTTTTCGACGCGGCGCCCGCTCCTGCCTCGCGCGTGCCGCCTCCGCCGCGCGCGCTCCCGGCAGCAGGCTGTCCAGGAAGGCCTCGGCGAACTCGTCGTCCTGGAAAGGTCACACCCTTTTCCTCCCAAGAGGAGGAGTAGGAGGAGGAGGAGGAGGAGGAGGAAGAGGAGGAGGAGGAGGAGGAGGAGGAGGAGAGAAGAGAAGGAGGAGGAGGAGGAGGAGGAGGAGGAGGAGGAGGAGGAGGAGGGGAGGCGGAGGAGGACACCGCGAATCAACGTAACCGTTGCGCCCTGACAGTCCGACATCCTGCCAAAGCATAACTCCTGGGATGTTAACCATGAGGATGCTTGAAACTGCTGTAGGCTCTGAAACAGAATGTGCGCGGAGCTAAAGCGAAAACAACGGGAAAGGAAGCGGAGGGCAGGGGAGAGGCAGGTGGGGCGAGGGAGCGGGGAGGGCCAGCAAGGGGGACCAGAGGCGGCCAAAGAGGGGAGGGAGGCTCCTCCTCCTCCTCCTCCTCCTCCTCCTCCTCCTCCTCCTCCTCCTCCTCCTCCTCCTCCTCCTCCTCCTCTTCCAGGGGGGGGGATACGAAAACAAGCACGAGCAAGCATATCGGAATCTCCGCTGCAGAACACGCCAGGGTCTGAAGTGACCAGGTCCAGGTTCGCAGGCTACTGTCCCAGTCTTCATATGCTCGGTGAGAACGCAGAAAACGCGGAACCGACGTAGGGCGGCAGCCAGCGCGACCCCGGACACCGCGCGACACGCCACGCACGCGACGGGGCCACCAGGGGCTGCAGCGCCAGCCAGCCCAGGCCACAATGGACCACGGGCACGGGCAGGGCGACGCCAGGCCACGGCCCTCTTAGGTGTTGGGGGGGGGCGGGGGGGATGTAGATCCGCGAAGCGGGGCACGATGCTGCTCCGATGATATCCCGTCTGCACGATGCAAGAATCATGCGATCATCGTGGGGTGGGTCCCGAAGCTTGGCCCCTGTGCTGGAGGGAACTGGAACCCTCTGGCTCGAACACTGCTAGGGGAAAACTCCCGTCGTGATGTTTCCATGACGCGAGGGCGTCGGGGCGAGCCCTGTCCCGACAGGTCTCGACGAGAGCCGCTCCACGCGGGGGACCTCCACGCCGCGCCGACTCGCGCGGTATGTCTACCATGACTCCGGCTCCTACGCACAAGTCTTCGATTTCTTCCTCGTGGTGCTCTCGGGGCCCTGATTGGGCGGCCCATGGGGACCTTCAGGGGGCCTCTGGGAGGCCTTTTGAATTCTCTGGGGCTCTCTCTCTATCTCTCTCTCTCTCTCGGCCCCGCGGGCCCACCCACGACTGGCCCACTAAGTCCGCCGCGCGCACGCCATCAAAAGCAGATTGGCGGTGCACCTGAAAGACCCCTCCACGAGGTGGCATCGAACTCCATCCGCCGCCGACGACACCGACGACGGCGACGACAACGACAAACGACGACGACGACGACGACGACGACGACGACGACGACGACGACGACGACGGACGACGACGACGACGACGGCGACGACGACGACGACGACAAACGACGACGACGACGACGACGACGACCTTCTCCTTCTCACTTACCCCCCTCGCCCGCCGCCGATCACTGGAGAACAGCAGCGGCGCGCACGGCTCGTCGTCGTCGTCGGTCGTCGTCGTCGTCGTCGTCGTCGTCGTCGTCGTCGTCGTCGTCGTCGTCGTCGTCGTCGTCGTCGTCGTCGTCGTCGTCGTCGTCGTCGTCGTCGTGGCGGGCCGGGCTCCCGCGCGTCGGCCGCCGCCCCGCCGAGCAGGAGGGCCAGCCTCGGCGGGGCTCGCCGTGCGTCCCCGAGGGGGGAGGACCCAGACAAGACCTCCTCCTCCTCCTCCTCCTCCTCCTCCCTCCTCTCCTCCTCCTCCTCCCTCCTCCTCCTCCTCCTCCTCCTCCACTCCTCCTCCTCTCCTCCCTCCTCCCTCCTCCTCCTCCTCCTCCTCCTCCTCCTCCTCCTCCTCCCCCTCCTCCTCCGCCTCCTCCTCCTCCTCCTCCTCCTCCTCGTCCTCCTCCTTCCCCCCACCAGCGTATGGTGGTGGTGGTGGGAAACAGGCCCAGCATGTGCGCCCCCGAGGGGTAGAGGCTTCCCTCGAAAGCCGGGTCAGGCCCGCGGGGCCGCGGGGCCGAGAGGCCCGCGGGGTCAGGCTTAGGTCGAGCATATCCCCCTACAGAGGGGGATGTTGTACGGAAAATAAAAAATAACTGAAAAATGCCCCAAAACTATCAAACAAATAATCAAAAAATAGTCCCCTGATTATTTATCCTACTATGTTCGAATACTCCTCCTGTAGAGGGACAGGCCCGATTTAAGGTCAAGCCCGCGGGGCCGCGAGGCCCGCGCGCCCCAGAGCCCTGAATCATCCGGGGTAGCTTCGTTCCAAATCGAGCTCCCGCTGCAGCGCTGGCCTCATTTCCGCGCTTCCGCTCGTTCCGAATCGTGCTCCCGCTGCAGCGCAGGCGTCATTTCCCGTGCCATGCCACGGCATGCAATGCAATGCTAGGTTGCGTTCCGCGGCGCGATACCATGCCTTCAGCTGAAGCTGTGATATGCAGCGCTTAAGCGCCACGTCGTGCTATGCCATGCTACGCTTTGATCTTCAACGCCATGCTATGCAATGTTATGTTCGGGGCCGCTGCGCGATGCCATGCTTTGCGTTGCAAAGCTTTGTGATGCAATTCTTCACTACGCCACCCACGCCATGCTGTGACATACTACGCTGTGCGGTGCTCTTCTACGCCATGCCATGCCGTGCTCTACAATGCATCGCGTACCCTTTCGGGATCATTGCCCTGCTCGACATCCGACTGTGCGAGTAGAGAGGGGATCCACGCCATGGTAAGGGATGGGAGGGAGGGGTAGGATGTCAGATATGACGCGAGCGCACCTAGCTTGCCTCCTCCCCCTCCTCCTCCTCCTCCTCCTCCTCCTCCTCCTCCTCCTCCTCCTCCTGCTCCTCTCCTCCTCCTCCTCCTCCTCCTCCTCCACCTCCTCCACCTCCTCCGTTCAATCCTCCTCCGCCTCATCCTCCTCTTCCTCCTCCTCCTCCAGCTCCTCCTCCTCCTCCTCCTCCTCCTCCTCCCTCCCTCATCCTCATCCTCATCCTCATCCCCTCCCTCCTCCTCGTCATCCGCCTCTTCCTCCTCTCCTCCTCCTGCTCCTCCTCCTCATCCTCCTCCTCTTCCTCCTCCTCCTCCCCCTCCTCCTCCTCCTCCTCCTTATCCTCCTCCTCCTCCTCCTCCACCTCCTCATCCTCCTCCTCCGCTTCGTCCTCCTCTTCCCCCTCCTCCTCCGCCTCTTCACCATAATCGCCAGCATCAACATCACCATCACCATCACCATCGTCATCACCATCACCATCGCCAGCATCATCATCGCCATCAGCAGCATAAACATCATCAGCATCATCACCATCATCAGCAGCACCATCATCAGAAACAGCATCAGCATCAGCATCATCATTGTGATCAGCATCGTCATCATCATCATCAGTATCAGCATCACCAGCATCATCAGCAGAAGCATCATAATATGCACCATCCCCGTCATCATTGTCATCAGAATCGTCGTCATCCATATCATCATCAAGATCAGCAGCATCATCAGCATCAACGCAATCAGCAACATCTGCATCAGAATCACCATCACTATCGACAGCAGTATCAGCATACTCAGAATCGTCATCATCAGCACCAGCATCAGGATCACAATCATCATCTTCTTCATCATCCTCATCACTCATTATCATCATCATCAGCAGCATCATCAGCATCAGCACCAGCATCAGCATCAGCATCATCATCAGCATCAACATTAGCATCATCAGCAGCATCCTTCCCCTCCTTCTCCTCCTCCTCCTCCTTCTCCTCCTCCTCATCCTCCTCCTCCTCTTCCTTCTCCTCCTCCTCCTCCTCCTCCTCCTCCTCCTCCTCCCCCATCCCTCCTCCTCCTCCTCCTCCTCCTCCTCCTCCTCCCCCTCCTCCTCATCATCACCATCACCAGCATCATCACCATCGCAAGCATCATCATCAGAATCATCATCACCAGCAGCAGCATCATCAGCATCAGCATCATCAGCATCATCGTCATCAGCAGCATCAGCGTCAGCATCAGCAGCAGCATCACATCACCAGCATCGTCGTCATCATCCTCATCAGCATCAGCATCAGCATCATCAGCATCAGCATCATCCTCATCGTCAGCATCAGCAGCAGCATCATCATCAGCATCACCATCATCAGCATTAGCACCATCAGCATCATCATCATCCTCCTCAGCATCGTCAGCATCATCAGCATCATCATTAGCAGCATCATCATCATCAGCATCACCATCATCATCAGCATCATGGTCAACCGCAAAATCATCATCATCGTCATCAACATCATCATCTTCACCATCACCGTCATTATCAACAGCCTCGTCATCATCATCATCATCATCATCATCATCAGCATGATCAGCATCAACAGCAGCAGCATCAACATCATGATCACCATCAGCAACAGCATCAACATCATGGTCCGCATCATCAGCATAATCACCATCACCATCATCAGCAGCAGCATCAGCATCATCATCATCAGCATCATCAGCATCATCGGCATCATGCTCATCAGCAGCATCATCATCACCAGTCTCCTCAGCATCATCAATATCATCATCAGCAGCAGCAAAATCAGCATTACCATCAGCATCAGCAGCATCATTATTTACATCATCAGCATGATCGTCATCATCAGCATCAGTTCATCATCAGCATCATGAGCATCATCATCGGCATCATCGTCATACTCAACAACATCAAATCATGATCACCATCCGCAACAGCATCATCGCCGTCATCATCAGCATCAGCATCGTCAGCACCATCACCATCACCATCACCATTACCAGCATCCGCATCCGCATCATCATCATCATCAGCATCATCATCATCATCATCAGCATCATCATCATCAGCATCAGTGTCATCATCATCCGCAGCAGCATCATCATCAGCAGCAGCATGATCATCAGCATCATCATCATCATCCGGCCCCTCCTCCTCCTCCTCCTCCTCCTCCTTCTCCTCCTCCGCCTCTTACTCCCCCTCCTTCTCCCGCTCCTACGCCTCCTCCTCCTCATCCGCCTCCTCCTCCTGCTCATCTTCTCCTGCTCCTCCTCCTCCTCCTCCTCATCCGCCTCCTCCTCCTCCTCCTCCTACGCACCCTCCTCCTCCTCCTCATCCTCATCCTCCTCCTCTTCCTCCTCCTCCGCCTCCTCCTCATCATAGACAACATCAACATCACCATCACCATCACCAGCATCACCACCATCACCATCACCATCATCATCAGCAGCAGAAACATCATCAGCACCAGCAGCATCAGCAGCATCATCATCCGAATCAGCATCAGCATCATCAACACATCAGCATCGTCCTCATCAGCATCATTATCAACATCATCAGCATCATCATCATCGTCAGCATCATCGTCATAATCATCGTCATCATCAGTATCATCATCGTCATATTCAAGATCATCATCAGCATCATCATCAGCATCACCATAATCAACAGCATCAGCATCGTAATCACCATCACCGTCAGCATCAGCATCAGCATGATCATCATCATCATCATCATCATCATCATCATCATCATCATCAACAACATCAGCATTATCATCATCAGCACCATCAGCATCATCGGCATCATCAGCATTATCATTGGCATCTTCAACATCACCAGCAACATCATCATTAGCATCATCAACATCATCCGTCCGCTTCTCCTCCTCCTCCTCCTCCTTCTCCTCCTCCGTCTCCTCCTCATCATCCGTTTTATCCTCCTCCTCCGCCTCCTCCTCCTCCTCCTCCTCCTCCTCCTCCCCCATCCTTTCTCCTCCCGCCTCCTCCTCCTCCTCCTCATCATCAGCATCCCCATCACCAGCATAATCACCATCACCAGCATCATCATCGTCATCAGAATCAACAGCATCATCATCATCAGCATCATCATCATCATCATCATCATCATCATCATCATCATCATCAGCATCATCATCATCATCATCATCATCATCATCGTCAGCATCAGCATCAGCATCATCATCAGCATCATCATCATCATCATCAGCATCATCATCATCATCATCATCATCATTATCAGCATCATCGTCAGCATCATCATCATCATCATCATCATCATCACCATCATCATCATCATCATCATCATGATCATCATCATCATCATCATCAGCATCATCATCATCATCAGCATCAGCATCAGCATCAGCATCATCAGCATTATCATCATCATCGTCAGCATCAGCACCAGCATCATCATCACCATCATCACCACCAGCATCATCATCATCATCATCATCACCATCATCATCATCATCATCATCATCCTCATCCTCATCATCAGCATCATCAGCGTCATCATCAGCATCAGCATCATCATCACCATCAGCATCATCAGCAGCATCATCAGCATCATCAGCATCAGCAGCATCATCATAACCAACAGCATCATCATCAGCATAATCATTATCCTCAACATCATCATGATCAGCATCAGCATCCTCAGCATCATCAACAGCATCATCAGCATCAGCATCATCATCAGCATCTTCATCATCATCAGCATCATCATCAGTTGCATCATCATCAGCAGCAGCATCATCATCAGCAACATCATCAACATCATGATCCGCATCATCATCACCATCGCCATCATCACCAGCATCATCATGATCGTCAGCATCATCCTCATCATCAACATCACCATCAGCATCATCAGCATCGTCAGCATCATCATAAGCATCGTCATCATCGTCGTAAGCAGCAGCAGCAGCAGCAGCATCATCATCATCATCATCATCATCTTCAGCATCATCATCATCAGCATCATCATCAGCATCAGCATCATCATTACCATCACCATCACCATCACCAGCATCAGCATCATCAGCATCATTCCAGCAGTAGCAGCATCACCAGCAGCAGCATCACCATCACCATCATCATCAGCAGCATCATCAACATCACGATCCGCATCATCACCAGCATCGGCATCATCAGCATCATCACCATCACCATCATCATCAGCATCATCATCACCACTAGCATCATCATCATCATCAGCATCATCATCATCAGCATCATCATCAGCAGCATCATCATCAGCAGCATCATCATCATCGTAATCAGCAGCATCATCATCAGCAGCAGCATCACCAGCATCAGCATCACCATTACCATCACCATCACCATCACCAGCATCAGCATCATTCCGCCTCCTCCTCCTCCTCCTCCTCCTCCTCCTCCTCCTCCTCCTCCCGCTCCTACGCCTCCTCCTCCTCCTCCTCCTTCTCCTCCTCCTCCTCCTTCTCCTCCTCCTCCTCCGCCTCCTCATTGTCCTCCTCGTCCTCTTCCTCTCCTCGTCCCTCTCCTCCTCCTCCTCCTCCTCCCTCCTCCTCTCCTCCTCCTCCTCCTCCTCCTCCTCTCCTCCTTCCTCCCTCTCCTCCTCCTCCTCTCTCCTCCTCCCTCCTCCTCCTTCCCCTCCTCCTTCCTCCCTCCTCCTCCTCCTCCTCCTCCTCCTCCTCACTCCCCCTCCCTCTCCTCCTCCTCCTCCTCTCCTCCTCCTCCTGCCTCCTCCTCCTTCTCCTCCTCCTCCTCCTCCTCCTCTCTCCTCCTCCTCCTCCTCCTCCTCCTCCTCCCCCATCCCTTTCTTCCTCCCCTGGCTCACGTTGCCCCCAAACCCCTGGAGGCTTCCAGCCCACCCCGCGGACCAGGCCGCGACGAGCCGCGGGGCGCCTGCCGCCATGCCTCCGCGAGCGGGCCGCGCGAGCGCGCCCCCGAGGGCAGTGCCCCGGGGGGGACCGCCAGGAGGGCCCTGGACGTCCAGTGCCTCGAAAAGATCGGGGCGCGCAGGAGGAACCCCATCCGAGGCGGGAGTTTATACCTGACCACCACCTGGAGGATCAATTTTCGGGGACCTCGGCAGGCGGTGGATATGGACATATTCGGGCCCCTGGGGGCCAGCATATATCCCTATTCACCACCCGCCGGGGCACCAGGACGTCGGCTCCCAGGCGGTGGATATGGATAAATCCCCGCCCAGCACCCCAACCCTTACGGAGGATTATGTTGTTCCCATTGTACCTCCACGTCCCGGAACTGACTTCGAGCACCCAGAGACGTGTCGACGCGGTGTGTGCCCGACACGCTGGCGCGGTGTCGAACGAGTCTCGCCTCCCAGGGCCCGACGCGTGAAAACCCTACAGGTTCGGTATGTACTTCCCTGGTGCTCGAAATTCTTTCGGGTGGCCAAGGCTAAAGTAGGTCGGAACATCATAAACCGCGGATCGAACTCGGGCGTTTTCACGGCTGGCGTTGGAGAGGTAGGGCGCAGAATCCACCTCCGAAAGGAGCGCTGCCCCCGTGAGGCGATTCTGCGCACGCTGGTCCCCCTGCCAGGGCCTCTTCGGTGCGCGCTGCCCCCAAAGTGTGGAGGGGGATAGCCTCCTCCTCCTCCTCCTCCTCCTCCTCCTCCTCCTCCTCCTCCTCCTCCTCCTCCTCCTCCTCCCTCCCCCTCCTCCCCCTCCTCCTCCTCCTCCTCCTCCTCCCCTCTCCTCCTCCTCCTCCTCCTCCTCCTCCTCCTCCTCCTCCTCCTCCTCCCCCTCCTCCCCCTCCGCCCCCTCCTCCACAATTACATAATATGAAAATGCTCTCCCACTTCCCCTGATGGCGTCCCGAAGATATCCGACACCCCCCCGCGTATTGTTATTTACGCACAGGATTCCCGGGAAACGGGTGTTCGCTTCCGCCTCGCCTGCGTTTTTTCGTTTCCCAAAATGCTGCTCTCGTTGAGGCGCCGGCCTCATTTCTGCTCCCGAATCGTTCCGCATCGTGCTCCCGCTGCAGCGTGGGCCTCATTTTCGGATCGGTGTTTGGCCTCCGTCGTTGAGGATGGCGTTCTCGCCCCAGAGCGGGCCTCTTTCCTTCCCCTCCTCTTTCCCCCCCTCGCGCGCGCATCCGCGGGCCGCCACCTACCGCGCTGCACCACACCACCACCACCCCCACCGACCAGCAACCACCACCAGCACCAGCACCAACACCACCCCATCACACCACCACCACCAGCACCACCACCACCACCACCACCAACCACCACCACCACCACCACCACCACCACCACACCCATGCACACACGCACGCACGCACGCACGCGCACCACCACCCACTACGCACGCGCGCGCGGAGCCACAGGTCCGCTACGACACGCGTCCGCGGATAGAGAAAATCAGCGCCATGGTAAGGGATGGGAGGGAGGGGTAGGACGTCAGATATGACGCGAGCGCACCTAGCTTGCCCTCCTCCCCCTCCCCCTCCTCCCTCCTCCTCCCTCTCCCTCCCCCTCCTCCTCCTCCTCCTCCTCCTCTCCCCCTCTCCTCCTCCCCCTCCTCCTCCCTCCTCCTCCTCCTCCTCCTCCTCCTCCTCCTCCTCCTCCTCCTCCTCCTCCCCCCTCCTCCTCCTCCCCCTCCTCCCCCCTCCTCCTCCCCCTCCCCCTCCTCCCCCTCCCCCTCCTCCTCCTCCTCCTCATCCTCCTCCTCCTCCTTCTCCTCCTGAGCGGGCAGGCGGCGCCACGTCGCACGCCGTCTCCCCAACGCCCACCGTGGCCCCCCCTGTGGAGACCTCTTGGGGGGGGGGGGGACTCCTCGCCGCCACGGGCCGGAGCCACCACGGAAGCCTGGCCGGAGCGCGCCCCGGAGCCAGGTCGGGGAATTTCCACTCTCTCGGTTTTGGACGCCCGAAATGTGTAGGGAAAAGAATGGGGAGGGGGGAGGGGGGGGGGACTCCTCGCCGCCACGGGCTGGAGCCGCCATGGAAGCCTGGCCGGAGCGCGCCCCGGAGCTAGGTCGGGGGGGGATCCGTTCTCTCGGTTTTGGCCGCCCGAAGTGGGTAGGGAAAAGAATGGGTGCAATGCCCAACAACAAATGTTGTCCCAAACCAACAGCGGCCGCTGTTGGGCAGGCGGCCTTCTGTCTCAAATAGACACAGGCCGCGGCGGCGCGGACAGCGAGTCCTGTTCAAAATGAACAGGAAGTGCTGTTGGGCAGTGTACCCCTTCTTTCCGTACCCATGTCGGTCGTCCCGATCGGTGACCCCCAGGCCTGGGCCTCCTCGCGCCGTGCAAAAAAGTCTACACGACGGGAGGATCTGGGCAACGCCTGGGCGTCGCTTGAGATGGGGGGCGACAGAGGGCGATGGGGGGAAGAAAGAAGGGCACTTCTCGGGCCCGGAAGGCCCCTCTATTGGGCCATGAGACAGCCCCGTGGGGGCCCCCGGAGGGCTCCTTCTCTCCAGCCCTCGCTGCCCCCCGAGGTACCGCCCCCCCCATCTCGCGACGCCCAGAACGCACAGGGATCCGCATCTCCGCGGGTCACGCTGTGAACGACCCACGACGCCGGAGCTCTGGGAGGGCAGGGTGCGCATCAACCCCGGTCACCAGGATGCGCGCATCGCGCCCCGCGAGGCGCGGCGCGCGGTCATCCGCGCCCTCGCGGGCCCGCCCTGGAGAAGGGCACAGCCCCAGCCTGGACTCCCCGACGCGAGAAGCGCGATCAGCTTCGCGCCCCTGGGGACGGCCGAGCCCAATTCGGAGGAGGACAGGCCGGGGATCTCGCGTCTGAGAGCCGCCGGGTCTGGAACCTGCATCGGCGGGCGCCGCAGCCGGCTCCGGAGCGCTCCGGAACGCTCGAGATCGGTCTGGAGCGATTCTTCCCTCGTCCTACAAGCCTCGACAAAAATATCCAGAAATGGAAATTGATATCCTGGAGCACGATGCTTTCGGGCACTTGTCAGAAAGCGCGTTCTTCAATGCTGAGAGGGTGGGGTCGGTTTTTGGACAACACCGCGTGCGAGTCAACAAGCATCCGTCAGCATTGGAGTAGCGTTGACCCCACAATCACCGAATTCAGAAGTCTTCTGCTTATTTTTGAAGAGGCTTGTAGGCCTGCCGTTCTAGGCATAGGCCTACCATCCGCATCCTCATCCCAGGCCGGGTTGGCATTTGCCACCGTTCCGAGCCTCTGGAGGCTGGCCTCGGGCTACGGGGTAATCCGACAGCGTGGCTCGGGGTGGAAAGATGGCCCTGGGAGGGACGGGTCGAGAGTGGGTTCCCTTTTTTATTGTTCGCGGCTCTGAAAGGCTAACTTGAATGTGGCCTGCGTAGGTGAAGCGGGCGGGCGGGGTAGCTGGACGTGCGTACGGAGTGCACGTTGGCACCCTACAAACCAACGCATTTGGGGCATACCGAAAACGTGAGAAACATGCGTAAAGGCATGCTGAGAGCGGCCTCGCGCATTCCGACGACTCAATTCTCCTGGGGCACGTCAAAGTACAAGTGAAATGGTGCTCCGATGGCCCCAAGTGGCTGTTTCGCTCGGGACATCCTCGACGAACCGGTTTCGGAGACCCTGAATCTCAAAAACAATAGTTTGCGCTGGGGACATCCTCGACAACTCGGCGTCTGCGCTCCGAGGACGTTCGACACCCCACGGGACGCCAACATGGCCCCAAGAAGCATGGCAAGGATTGGTACCGACACTCGTCGAGGCAGTACCCCTGACACACACACACACACACACACACACACACACACTCACACACATACACACACACACACACAAAAAAAAACACACACACACACACACACACACACACACACACACACACACACACACACACACACACACACACAAAACACACACACACGCACACATACACACACACAAACAAACACACACACACACACACGCACACATATACACACACACGCACACACACACACACACACTCGTTGCAACATCTGCGTGCGAGCTTCCCCCTGGGGGCCCGCCGTGACTCCCGATCTGCAGGCTCAACTACCCCAGCAAAACACCCGTGAAGAGGCGGGTCGAGGAGTGGGTCGGTCAGTGCAAACGTGCACCCCTAGGTCAGAGTGAGGGGCCGAACGGTCATTCACTGTCCCTGGGTGCGTTGCTGAAGTGGAGTTCTGCGGATTTGTGTTGCGTTGTTTTTGTTTGCTGTTGTTTGCTGTTGTTTGCTGTTGTCAGCGTGTCACTCACGACCCGGCCCGCGACCCACCCGCGACCCGCCCGCGACCCACCAGCGACCCGCTCGCGACCCACCCGCGACCCACCCGCGACCCACCCGCGACCCACCCACGACCCACCCGCGACCGCCCCCTCACTACTATCCACAACTACGGGTGAGAGCACGGCCATGTGCACCGCAACAGTTTCTTACACGGGATCGTGGCTGTCTGAAACTGCGGGCTCAATAATAATGCTGGTGGGGGCCCACGCACCCGAATCGGCGGCGAGCGAGGGGGGGAAATGAGAAGGAGAAGGCCTTCTCGGAAGGCGGCGGGACTTCTCAGAAGCCCTCGCACCGGCTGAGAAATCTCCTGCGTCTTCGGAGAAGGCACAGAAAACTCCTCCGAAAGCTGGGGACGTCCGAGCCTTTTAAGAAGGCCCGCGCCTTCTCTAGAGAGCAGAAAATCCCTCATAATAAGCACCCCGATGAGCGAAGCCGTTTAGTAAACGCATCCAAGGAAGGAATCGAGCAGGGCAGGGCTGTTTAGGTAACGCCCAGGGCCGTTTAGCAAACGCCAATGATCGAGGTCGGGGTGGCTTTTCCACCCGTGACTCTCACTTCCTCCCCGGGCTCGTTTGGGCATCGATTAGCCGATCGCTATCCCCACTGGCGTTGCCTGGGCCACCCTGGCCGACCCACCCCCCTAGATGGGGATCTGGGCTGTTCCCTCCGGGCCTCGAGAGGCGCGTCCCCAACTGGGGGGTGGCAAGATGATGGGCATCGGGATAGGGATCGGGATGGGGCTGGGGATCGGTGGAGCGATACCGATCGTCGATACCGACCGGAGACGTCGGAGCGCCGGACGTCCAGGTCAGGGGCACGGGTGATGGGCCTGTTTCCCACCACCACCAAACAGTGCATATAATATTAATAAAAAATGGGAGGGGAGGAGGAGGAGGAGAGAGGAGGAGGAGAAGAGGAGGAGTAACGAGGAGGTAGGCGACTGTTTCAGAGGAGGAGTAGGAGGATGGCGGCCTGATGCGTAAGGAGGAGGCGGGAAGCGGATGAGGAGCTGTGCGGACCCTGGAGGAGGAGAGGCGGAGGGAGGGGGAGTAAATAGGAGAAAAAGCAGGGATGAGGGAGGGAGAGGCAGGAGGAGGGGAGCGAGTAGGAGTAGGGGGGGCGTTTCGTCCGTGAGGCCGTTCATGAAGGGTTGTTGATAGCGGCGTGCGTCGCTGATGAGTAGGAGGAGACCCCCCTCCCCCTCCATCTTCTGGTGGTGTTGGTTTGACAAAACACGCGCCCATCCCAACATTGTGGCCGGGCGCAACCGCCGCTGGTGCGGGGCTGCTTGGTGCCGGCCCTCTGTCCTCGGGCCGGGAACAGCGCTGGCCCGCCTCTTCGCTGGCAGCGGCACATCTTCTGCGGCCAGCTCCGCGAACCTGCTCGCGTGGGCTCCCTATACTCCCGTTCTGCCGCGCACGTCGGGTCGGTGTCGCTGCAGATCGCGCTTTGGCCGCGTGCGCGCGTCCATCGATTCTCCTAGCACGGCGCCAGGGCAGCGCAAGGAATGCCCGCACGGCTGGCGGGGGCGGCCCATAAGGTGGTGTGGGGCCAGTGTGGGAGGGAGGGGAGGGAGGCGGTGAGGGATGCTCGTGTAGTGTCATAGGGGCTCAGCACAAAGTAGCTTGATTCCTCTCCTTTGCAGCTTTAGTTCCGCTCCATCGGCCTCTCCGGCGACATTCTCTCACTGCTTCGACGATTCTCTTTCTCTGTTTCTTTTTATTCTCTGGTACCCTTGAGGGTAGGCATAGCCCTGCAAAAGTCGGATGGGGCACAAGGGCTCACCAAGCCTTGGAACGGTGACCCAAGGTACAAGGACCGTTGCAGGCACGTGGTACGAGTGTCAACTGACCACTAGTCAGCCACCTCAGCTGTGGTATACGTTGTTATGTTGCTCAGTTTGTGTGCAAGATAAATTGGAGCATCAGGAGGAGGAGGACGAGGAGAAGAAGAAGGATGAGGAGGAGGAGGAGGAAGAGGAGGAGGAGGAGCAGGAGCAGGAGACAGAGGAAGAGGAAGAGGGAGAGGG